TGCTGAACCTTATTCACAGACAGCTTGGCAAATCCGAGAGCTGGAACCAGATCAATATCCTGGCTGAGTCAGCTGACCTGTATGACAAGCGGTTTGAGCTGGTTGAGTTCGGGTCCCTCCAAGATGGATCCGAAGGCCATGACAGAGGCGTCGCGGTAGCGCCAGTCAAGGTGCTTGATGTGCTCTTTGATGAATGGCAGAACGTGAGGAACCACGTCATCCTCACAGCAAGTGGCAAGCAGCATCAGACACACACCCGCCGCCTTACAGGGGTTCCAGTCATCGTCGTCGTCATTTTCGTCCTGCAGAGGACAGTGAAAACAAAAACAAAACAATCAACAGCAGGCAGAATGAAACCTCTACAAACTGCTTAGAGAAACAAACCATGAGAAGAGGAGGAGAGATGACTTCATCAGGTGCGTTACCTGTTTGGTGAGGGTCTGGGTAAGGATCGGGACCAGGTACTGCAGGGCTCCTTTGGCGTAGAATTTACTGGTGTGCTCCGGGGGCCGTCCCTGCTCTGAGGCCTGCCAGTAGACAAGGGGCACAGTTAGAGGATGATACAGAGCAGCCAACAGATAAAGTTCATGAATGGACATTTTCACTCACCTCTGAGGCCTCGATGGCCAGGTCCATCTCCTCATCACAGACGTTGGACCAGAACTCGATGCCCTGTAGGGCCACCTCATCGATGTCGCTCTTCATTGCCTCGATGGTAATCTGAGGGAGGAAGAGGACAGGGAGAAGGAAGGGAAATACACCAAAAGAAAAGGAAGAAAGCAAGCACGGGAGAGCAGATGGATAAATGGAGGTAAGTGACCATAGAAACGAGGTGAAAGAGTGAATTAAAATGCTAATGTCAAGCATCAAACTCTTAAAGCTGATCAGCTCAATATCTGTCCATAAAAACATTTTGAAAGTTGCAATTGTAGTTTTACTTAATTTACTGCACATTAATGAACAGGAGAGAGATATAGATAGATTCACATTAGAATCGCAATTCATATCTTCCACGATTCTAAACCAATTTGTAAATGCTAAAAATCGATTTTTGTAATAATGTTGACAGAACCGAAAAGGCGGAACTCAACCGCAAAGCCAGTGTTGCACACAGACAGCAGGCAAGTGCGCACACACGAGTTGTGCTGTAATGTTAGTTCATCTTCAGACAAGGAATTAATTTGCCTGTGCATTAATTACTTGATGAGCTTTGAAAGACAAGTGTGTAGGACTGTGTGAATACTTTGTAGCCTGCCACGAACAGTGACCTTAGCATAGCGAGGCAGCGAGCAAAGTAAGAAACAAGCAGCTCAGACACACCTACTGCAGCACTTTAGTCAAACTGGTGACACAAAGAAAACCCTCGTTCCTACAGACATGCTGCTCATTGCTACAGCCCTGTGCCCATTTTGGATCATGCTGGCTTCCTTTGGTAGTAACACTGCAGCATAGATGCTGTTCTCCACTGCTGCAGACATAACGTTAATAACCTCACAGCCGAGCGCTCAGCTTATCTGTCTGTTAAGCTTCATTAGCAGCTCAGTGGGCACAGGACAGAAACCTCAAGAAAGAGCCAAATATACAGCAGTGCATTTCTTTGTTTTATTGAATACAGTCGCTGTGAATCGAATTGCGACACCAAGAATCGAAATCAGATCAAATTGTGAATTTGCCAAAGATTCCTACGCCTAATGAACAATAAAGGGAAAAAAACCCAATAAACATCAGCATTTAACACATTTAACATAAACTTTATTTCCTTCTTTAACCACTTTACTAAAGCACTCTTATTTTGTTGGAGTTACAGCTCCTACAATGCAAAACCTTTTCCGACAGAACAATGTTACCTTTTCACAGTTCCACCGACAGATCAGTGGGAACACTTGCTTATCAAGTACGAGAACTTGTCGACATCATGGTCAGCACTTTCCAGCTGTATAAAACAGCCATTCACACAGTAACTCGGTGTGAGCCGAGTATAGATAAGCAGAAGAAAACAGACGATAAAACCTAGTTAAAATTTGTTTTTGATCAATTTGATGTTTGCTCATTAAAAGTCAAGCAGTGACTGCAGGTCTGATGGTACTGACTCAAAATTCACCTTCTGCACAACTACACACAGAGCTCTAATGTTACCATCCGTAGCAAGCAAGAACAAATATTCTGTCAATGAAATGTTAAACCCCTTTCTTTAAGCCTTTTTCAGGGAACTGACATGAGCATTTGAAGACTTTGTATAATGACTCATCCTGGTGAAGTCACCAAACTGAGAACAGCCTATTCTGCTCTTTGTCCCTGTTTGGCTGCGATTTGAGACGTTCAGCTGGAGCTGTGCAGGTGGGAGGGCACATAAATACAGGTTTCTATGAATGTAAACACACCAGGAGCTTATAGAGGAGAGTAAAGAGCGTCAAACTGGGGGACAAAACTGAAATAATAAACAACATTAAAAACAGGCAGCAGTCTAATCCTGTGGTGTGAAGTCAGTCAGACCCTGACAGGTTTTCTTACCGCGAACAGAGCAGGTCCCATGTACGTCTCCATGTACTGATAATACAGAGACATGATCTTCACCAGGTTCTGTAAGGCCGCCACACGCACCTGTGAACACAGCACAGTTTCAACACACCTACTCCCTGACAAAAGTCTTGTCGCCTATCCAAGTTGTAGGAACAACAATAACTTGACTTCTAGTTGATCATTTGGAATCAGAAGTGGCTTATATGAAAGGCAAAGGCCTCTAGATTATACTTATTTTACCAAAATAAAACCTTATCATTCCTTGATCTTTAATTATTTAATTAGGACAGAAAGGTCAGACTTTGCTTAGACAAAAGTCTTGTCACATAACATAATGTACAGTACAGAACATAAAGTCATGGTACCATGGGAAAAGAATTAATATTGTGTATGACTGCCATGAGCTCAGAGGACTGCATCCATACGTCTCAGCAATGACTAACTTATTAATGACGTCATCTGGAATGGCAAAGAAAGCATTCTTGCAGGACTCCCGGAGTTCATCAAGACTCTTTGGTTTCATCTTCAATGCCGCCTCCTTCATCTTACCCCAGACATGCTCAATAATGTTCATGTCTGGTGACTGGCCAATCCTGGAGCACCTTGACCTTCTTTGCTTTCAGGAACTTTGATGTGGAGGCTGAGGTATGAGAAGGAGTGCCATCCTCCTGAAGAATTTGCTTTTTCTTGTGGTTTGGAATGTAATGGGCAGCAAGAATGTCTTGATACTTCAGGCTGTTGATGTTATCATCCACTCTGCAGATCTCTTGCACACCCCCATACCGAATATAACCCCAAACCAGGAGTTTACCTCCACCGAACTTCACTGTTTTCTGTGTGAATCTTGGGTCCATGCGGGTTCCATTAGGTTTTCTGCAGTATTTGCGACGATTGGGATGCAGTTCAATAGATGATTCATTGGGGGGAAAAAAAAAAAAAACCAACCTTCTGCCACTTTTCCACTGTCCATCCTTCCTGCAAGCTGTGGGCCTTGGCAAATGCAACACAATTTTTTAGTTGTCTTCTGTTTAATGCTGGTTTCTGAGCACTAATTCAGCCATTGAGACCACTGTGTGAGAGAATTCGACAAACTGTTCTTGTAGATACAGGGGTTTCCGGTGACCAGTTTTTATGTAGCTCTGCTGCAGTTGAAAAGGGGCTGGCCCTGGACTGCCGAAGCAACAAAACGGTCCTCTCGAACAGTTGTCTTATGGGGTCTGCCTGACCTGGGCCTGTCATGAACTTCACCAGTTTCTTCAAATCTTTTTCTTATCCTCTCCAATTGACATTTAGGCCACGTTCACACTGCAGGCTGAAGTGGCTCAAATCCGATCTTTTTGCCCAAATGTGACCCATATCCGATTTCCTTATGACAGTGTGAACAGCACAAATCCGATTTTTTCAAATCCGGCCCAGGCCACTTTCATATGTGGTCCTAAATCGGAAACATAGTCAATGTTTTACAATGCGACTTCAGTCTGAACGGCCATGTCGCATTTCATGCAATTTAAATGTCATTGAAATGCGACAGACGGCACAATTCTGCGCTGGAGCAGGCGGGGTCATAAGCAATATTTGTGCTCTCCTTCTTCTTGATATTCTTATTATTACTATTTCTTTATTTCAATTGCAAATTAACTGGTACATCGCTACGCACATGCTATCATGAGCCGCATCCATTTTTATTTTCGCAAACACAGTACGCTGCGTCTGACGTCACGTCCTCACAACAAGTGGGACACAATCATGAAGTGGAATGAAATTTATTGGATATTTCAAACTTTTTTAACAAATAAAAAACTGAATAATTGGGCGTGCAAAATTATTCAGCCCCTTTACTTTCAGTGCAGCAAACTCTCTCCAGAAGTTCAGTGAGGATCTCTGAATGATCCAATGTTGACCTAAATGACTAATGATGATAAATAGAATCCACCTGTGTGTAATCAAGTCTCCGTATAAATGCACCTGCACTGTGATAGTCTCAGAGGTCTGTTTAAAGCGCAGAGAGCATCATGAAGAACAAGGAACACACCAGGCAGGTCTGAGATACTGTTGTGGAGAAGTTTAAAGCCGGATTTGGATACAAAAAGATTTCCCAAGCTTTAAACATCCCAAGGAGCACTGTGCAAGCGATAATATTGAAATGGAAGGAGTATCAGACCACTGCAAATCTACCAAGACCTGGCCGTCCCTCTAAACTTTCAGCTCATACAAGGAGAAGACTGATCAGAGATGCAGCCAAGAGGCCCATGATCACTCTGGATGAACTGCAGAGATCTACAGCTGAGGTGGGAGACTCTGTCCATAGGACAACAATCAGTCGTATACTGCACAAATCTGGCCTTTATGGAAGAGTGGCAAGAAGAAAGCCATTTCTTAAAGATATCCATAAAAAGTGTCGTTTAAAGTTTGCCACAAGCCACCTGGGAGACACACCAAACATGTGGAAGAAGGTGCTCTGGTCAGATGAAACCAAAATCGAACTTTTTGGCAACAATGCAAAACGTTATGTTTGGCGTAAAAGCAACACAGCTCATCACCCTGAACACACCATCCCCCCTGTCAAACATGGTGGTGGCAGCATCGTGGTTTGGGCCTGCTTTTCTTCAGCAGGGACAGGGAAGATGGTTAAAATTGATGGGAAGATGGATGGAGCCAAATACAGGACCATTCTGGAAGGAAACCTGATGGAGTCTGCAAAAGACCTGATACTGGGACGGAGATTTGTCTTCCAACAAGACAATGATCCAAAACATAAGGCAAAATCTACAATGGAATGGTTCAAAACTAAACATATCCAGGTGTTAGAATGGCCAAGTCAAAGTCCAGACCTGAATCCACTCGAGAATCTGTGGAAAGAACTGAAAACTGCTGTTCACAAACGCTCTCCATCCAATCTCACTGAGCTCGAGCTGTTTTGCAAGGAGGAATGGGCAAAATTTAAGTCTCTTGATGTGCAAAACTGATAGAGACATACCCCAAGCGACTTACAGCTGTAATCGGAGCAAAAGGTGGCGCTACAAAGTATTAACTTAAGGGGGCTGAATAATTTTGCACGGCCAATTTTTCAGTTTTTTATTTGTTAAAAAAGTTTGAAATATCCAATAAATTTCGTTCTACTTCATGATTGTGTCCCACTTGTTGTTGATTCTTCACAAAAAATTACAGTTTTATATCTTTATGTTTGAAGCCTGAAATGTGGCAAAAGGTCGCAAAGTTCAAGGGGGCCGAATACTTTCGCAAGGCACTGTATATATAAAAAAATTTCGGATTTGGGCAAAAAATCCGATCTGAGCATTAAGACCTGCAGTGTGAACGTAGTCTTAGGTACATTAAAAGATGTCTGCCACCTCAGCAGAAGATTTGGTCTTCAGGCTCTTGATGATCAACACTTTGGTCTGTGGTTGAATCTTTGGCATGTTGTCAGAGGTCAGGTTGCATTTCAAATGAAGGTTGGGTGTGCTGGGGTTATTCTTATACACACCTGGGAAGGTGTTAATTACAGTATTTGTCACAGGTGACACTAATCTGTGATTGGTTGAATCCTTTAAGGATACGGCAAGACTTTTGTCCTTGCAGAAACAGATGTTATGGGCTTTACCAAGCTGTGAACATCAGGACACTTTTTGATGGTTTCATTTTGCACCCAGTTGTTAATGTAAATGCCCTCTGACATTAAAATTAACAATTTATTGTGACAACTGAATGATTAGAAATAAAGTTATATGACATTTTAGGTTACTATGTCCTTATAGGACAAGACTTGTCAGCGAGTGTAGAACAACATGGACATGTGATGAGCGACAGGAAATCACTAACTGGATGGGAAACAGCTTCATTCCAGTAAAGTGTAGGACCTGGTTAAACACTTGCTTTTTGTTCGTCCCAAAGTTAAAAAACACTTATGCTACTCACTCTGGTGTCGGGACACTGTGTAGCTTCACAAACCACCTGCATGATGAAGTGCCGCTCCGTCTGAAACACAATGAAACAAACAACATCTATAAAGATGTTTTGAGTTTAAGTAACGCTTGACTCACTAAATATACACAGAGTGCTTTCTCATCCAAGAACCCTTCACATTTAGTCTTAATTTAGCACAAGCCAATTAAGATTCAAAGTTTTATTACTGCACATGGAGAAAAGCCTGAAAATGAAAACCTGTTTTCATTTTACTGGAGCTCAAACTGATCTGCAGGCTCAAGTTAAATTCAAGACCTTTTACTTCGACGTGGCACACCAATATAAAATGCAGAAAACGATAAAAACAAATTTAAAAACTCATCTATAAAACAAAAAAGTGGCTTATGTTAGTTCACTGACTGTTTTTAATTGTGCCTTTAAAAGCGCTTTGAGCTGCAGCTTTACTAGGTCAGACACTGTGTCCACCATGGGCCGACGAGGCTCCTGGAGCCGCAGGGAGTGAAGCAGGCCCCTGCAGCTCAACCCTACTGTGAGTTTAGAGGCTATCTCGAGAGCTGCCACATACAGACTCTTTTACAACTCATGTTAAGTCCAAAGCAGCCAACACAACACAGGACCGAACTCTTCCAAATGAACTGAAAATACTATCTGATGCCATCTAAGGCCTTAATGTGATTAAACTGAACACAATGCTTTTGGTACCAATGGACACCAAATAGCAGGTGGAGGACGACCTCGCTGTGTGTAGTGAAGTACTCTCAGAAGCCTCAGTGTGAGAGGGCAGGTTCAGCACATGTATGTTTATCAGCGTACCTCCTTGTCGAAGTTGGCTTTGGTGAACTCCAGGGAGTTGAGCAGGGCGTTGGTAGCAGCCAGTTTAACATTGTTACTGGGCTCTTCCTTCCTCATACCCTGGATGATGGCGGTCAGGATCTGATTGGCATTTTCCTGCAGCTGCTCCGGGTCCTGAACAGAACACAGGTTAGTACCCCGCATTGATCCAAGTATCACAGCTTTACATCCAGATACATTCAAAGCTCACTGTTTGGTCAAACCGCTCCTAACTCACCTGTGAGGTGTCACATCTAAAACCGAAAAATTCTCCCTGAAAGTTTCCTTTAAACAGTAGAATTTAGTGCTTTTTGCAGGGAAGACTCTGTACTGTTTGTGCACTGCCTTAATGAACATCAATCACTTTGGTAACTAGGATGTTTCAGTGAGTCACAGCTGTTTAGCTCGACACATATTTGTTCACAGGGAGGCATAGAACTCTCAAACATGAAAAGTTTCCAGTAGATGAATAATGAACATTTGAACAGGTTTTCTCTTGAGGAAGTTCACCTCCCCTGCAGTCTGTTCTGCAAGGACATCATGCAGGAAACATCCTTGAACTTATTATGGAGCTGTAAACTCAACTCCTGCTTATTCTCCAATACATTTGGCCTTCCACTGCCCCCACCCCCAAACTCATTTTATTTTACACTAAAACTGAGTCCTGCTGGTGCTTCACATATGTTCAGAGTCTATCACTCACGATGTCCTGGCAGATGTATCCAATGGCCTCCAGTGTGGACTCCTTCATGTGTTCGGTGCTGGACGGGTCGGTGACATTGGCCACCAGCTGTGGGATCAGCTCGGGCCACTGGTTCACAGGGATCTCCGCACAGGCGATGCCAGCGACACACTGAGACGCTGAGCTGGGCCGGTATGTCTCTGTGCCCAGAGTCTGTAAAACCTGAGGAGCAAAGTCAGACGTCATGAGACAACAACTGTTTATACATACATCTTAAACAAACCCAGAGTGGATGTTCCTGAGTCAGTTACATAGTTCTTGATCTCGCGGCGGGCGTTGGCGTCGATGGCCAGCCATCTCTGCTGGTACTGCGTCTTGATGTCGGGGTCTTTGGAGGTCAGAGAGTTCTTCACCTGCAGTCCAGCAGCAACCCGAGCCACCTGAGTGTTCCCTGGGTTCGCCAACACTTTAGACAACTCCACCAGGAACGTGGGCTGAAGGAGAAGCAGAGCTGTTCAGATTACAGACAAAACGTGACGGTGACAGAATATATGGGGAAAGCTCACACTGGGCATTAAAACAGCAGATCAATCACCAACATGTCAAACTCTGGGATTTGGTTCAGACTGAACTAGTTTTGCCTGGTACTGTGCTGTGTGCTGCTGCATTCAAGGTGCAGCTCAAACAGCTGCTGCTTAAAGAGTAACTCCTTAACCAGGGTATATGCAGAAATCATGATGGTAAATTCAAGGCAGAAGGCCGTCCACTGAGAGCTGGGGTCTGTTGGAGGTTTAGAAGGTCTAGACCTGACTTTTTAAAGTGTCCTGAGATGACTCTGGTTGTGATTTGGCGCTATACAAATAAATTTGAATGTCTGACTTTGTGGCAGATCTGCCCACTCACACTGAAAACTTTGTACAAGCAGCAGTCTGACATAGTGGGACGTTATTTGCTGTCGGACCTTTCTCTAGGTCCTTCAGGCTTCATTTTCCATTGTCATCCTGCTGGTGCTTTTGACTTTAAGGAGAACGAAATCCTGTATTCTACAGTAGTGCACCTGTGTATCCGGGACAGGGCAGATCATTTTCCAACATCTTCCAACTTCACACAGGTCAGAAAGAACAAGCCGTTTACAATAGGAACTATATTCTTGAACATGCTCCGTGTCCTCTAACATACAGGAACAGCTGTCCTGTGAAACTCATCATTTTGGTCTGTGCCACTGTTTAAAGGTAAACTCCTATTCTGTGCCCAAGTGCAATAGTGTGGCTCACAACACAGCACTGCCGAGACGGTAATCGGTGTCGCAGAATAAGAGGCGTATATAAAATCCTCAGCTTTATTACCAAATACTGCTTACATGAGCCTGAAGGATTTCAGTCCAACTGAAATCCTCTAACACTACAGTTGTATTTCAAAAACAGATTTACTGAATTTTATCTGCTGCATCCAAGTCTCTACACTTTAACACACAACAGTCATTTTACTTATTTATTTATTTATTAACCTTTATTTCCCAGAGAACAGTCCCACAGAGTTTTAGAAGCTTTTTTCTGAGGGGGCCTCAGTCACTTTAAAATGTAGCTAATTAAGGTAAGGTCCATTTATTACCTTCATACAAGATCAAATGTCTGAACAAACCACACTAGATATTTTCAGCCAGTTTTAACTTTAGCCACAGGGGTGTAACTCACCAGGCTCATTGTGATACGACCCTATACCGAGTCTCTTAGCCAGCAATCTGATGTTTGCCAGTTCTCAAAAATATGCCATAATGTGATTTCAATTTAACTGGATTCAAGGGCCTGCAATCAATATCATGTCTGTTTCAGTGTCTTGCCCAAGGACACTTCGACATGCGGACTGCAGGCACCGAGATTCGAACCTTCAACCTTCCAGTTAGGAGACGACTCTACCCACCGCATCACTGTCGCCTCCCCAGTTTGTTTAAAACTTAACGTTCACACTTACTGTTGCGTGTCCGTTTTAATCCAGAATACTTCCACAGTTCGTTTCTGATGGTGGAGTTTAGCTTATCTGCGTTTGTCTTGGCTGCTACAGGTCAAGGCCACTTCTCACAGAAGGTGTTTTGTCACTCACCCCTCTCACACAACTGATAGAACTCCAATCTTTCACGTGTCGCACATCACCCCTGGAACCCTGCTTTTTTTTTTTTTTATCCTTCAAGTCTATTTCTTCTCTCTATTGTGTTTAATGAAGTGTAATCTCCACAGACTGTTTGTCCGGCCACTGTCTTAATGATGGACAGATGGCTAATCTGACAACAGTGATGCTGCATGGAAGTTGAGTTGCTGTGGACTGAACGGTTCAGACTCTTCAGTACAGGATACAAAATTTACTTTGACTCATTGGCCAAGGTGGCTGGTAGATGGGGGAAAAAACAAAGAACTATCAGCCAAACATTTTTTAAAAATCAGCCAAAATAATAAAGTGCCTTTTTGTGTCACATACACATTTGCTCCAAGATTTCATTGAGATAAGGTATTGGGTTGAATACAAACGTAAAGAGGCCAAAGCAAAATTATTTTAATGAGCCATCAATCAGCAGTTAATAAATTACATTCATTAACATTTAAAAGCCACAGCACAACTCAAGAAGGCTTGATTGTGAAACTAACATACAGTAGGTGCTATTAAATGTACTTCAGGGAAACTAAAGGTTTGTAAACCCAATGCATGCTTAATCATTTTAAATGGTTTAAAGCTCCTTTTAAGACCTCTCTACCGCAATCACCCACTTCTTTGCATGGCCCATGAAGTCTGGTCTTCTTTCCTGTCTGTGTCAAGAGTGTGGCGCACACATACGAGTTTCACGGGACCCACTGCTACTTAGGGGTATGAGAAAACAGATACACTTGAGTATTGCAATACTGTATCGATTCTCAAAAACACAGTATTGATTTCTAAATCAATAGTTCATGTGCCAAGTAGTGCTTGGCCCATGTTTGCCTGCTGGATGTTGATTTCAGATCCTGCTTCAGTAGGTTATGTGCTGTTCGCATCTCACTCTTATTGCCAGTCTAAGAAAAGCTAGCTACACACGTAACACTTATTGTCCAGTTTAAAAAGAACATATGTGCATACGTATGTGGCTGGCTGTCAAAATAAAAGTACACATAACATTGCTGTTTATGTTTTGTACCTGTCGTCAGATCACAGGGTGCTTGATCAATTTGTCATTTCACCCCTATCTGCCACATATGGAAAGATTTTACAGCTAATCTCACTGACCACAGCAGATCAGAAAATCTAAGTTAGGACATTTCAAATATTTAGAGGCCTTTTTGAGGAACCTGAAGTAACTAGCAGAGACCCTGACAGGCCACGAGACAGCCTACAGCCAACTGGAGAACATGTAAAGGCTCAATAATCCACATTGTCAATTCTGGTTTATATCTGCCCTACGTTGTGCAACATTTTTCAGCACACCACAAACAAGGTACTGCTCATCTGTTTCCACCAAACATTGTCTGGCATCATTTATTACCGAGCAAGGACGGTTCACGCACACTAGACTGGATCCAATCCCAAGTTGGTAAAACACTTTGACTCGTTATGATCTGCAGCCAAATGAATCCTCTAATCTTCCATGTTCTATTTAGTCTGTTTCCTCTCCAACTCTACAGACATCAGCAAAGAAGAAAAACACTGATGACATACAAGGTTTCCCATACTACAAAAAGCCTTAGGTGCAGCGCATAAGTGTATTTGAAGAGTGCCTAAGCTGAATGAATGTAAAAAAGTAACGTATCAGGATTAACGTAAAAACAAAAGTGAATCGTAGGCACTGAAAAAAAGAGGTGACTTAATCTCAAAATGCAGCATAAGATGTCAACAGGAATGACGTGTCAATCAATTTTACAAGTAAAAATTGCTAACGTAGCTAACACACCGATTTAGTTAAGGCAGCGGTGTCAAACTCAATGGCACAGGGGGCCAAAACTCAAAGCACACTTTAGGTCGGGGCCGAACAGGATAAACATTTATTGAACAGACTAAAACTAAACGTTTTTTGAACATAAATATGAATCGAAACAGACAGGATACAAAATGATTCCAAAATAAATAAACTTGAACTTAAAATCGCCAACCGTATTTCTGCTAAGCCTTACATTTACAAACACCTGCTTTTTGTCTGGACACCA